CGGCTTTTTGTCTTTGTTTTCTTATTTATTTTTTGAATAGAAGTCACCCATGTTTTCAGAGAATGAGGTCATGTTGGGTCTCTCTTTGTCAAATATTTGGAGATTCCAAGTTTTTGTTGGCAGTTCCTTGTTTCTGCTGCGCAACAACTTAATAGGAAGGGCAATGTTTGAGGTGTGTAATAATAAGGGACTGCGATCTGTGTAATACTACCAGTACCAGCTCCTAGACTTTGTCTTCCAAGTTTGAACTTAACAGCATTTCATATACATCCAAGTTTGTGATTTACTACCCGACGGGTCGTTTTTCCTCGGTCCGACCAGGAATTTTGCAAGTAGCAGAATGAGTCCCTCAAAGCCAACTCAATTTATTTTAGGTGGAGTGAGCTTTATAACTTTATCTCATAGCTACCCTTCACTGTTCCAAACCATTGAAACTATGGACCTAATTTGGTAGAGAGGAATTATCTTCGGTAGCTTATATTAGAAACTATATTTCATAAATGGACTGTGTTTCCAAATTTTACATATTTCGGTTTCAAGATTTTAAGTTTTTTTTTTTTATTAATCTTAATTTTGCCCCGAATTATTGCTTTTATATTTAATTTTACATATTCCTTTCTTCCCAAAATTATCGCCAAACAATTGAAGTTTTAGGCAAGGAAGGTTAGTTTGTTCACAGATTTGGCGCCTTGAATTTCGGTTACAGCAATTGTATTGCACGATTCAAATCTGATTTGAATATTATGGTTAAAAAAATATATGGTTATTATGGTTGTTCAAAAAATCAGTTGTATATTCTGGTTGTTTGATTATTTTTTCTATTTTGTTTTTTTAAAAAAAAAAATCTTTATCAATTCGGTTATTCTTAATCAAACTCATTGTAGGTTTTGGGAAAGGGTAGAAAGTGGAAATTTTGAAATAACTATTTTGTAGGGATTTTGAAATAATATCTACTCCTTGTAGGTGTTATGTGGAAGGAAAATGGCAAACATTTAATTTTGATTGCTATATTTGAATTTTTTATTGTTTCGTTTATTAAATATATAGTTCAATAGTCTATTTAGTAATTTGTTTAAGGATTTCATCCATTGTATACAACTTTGTAAAATCTTAAACCTCGGTCTATTTATATAACTAGCAAGAAACATGTGTTGTGCACGTCAACTTTCATGGTTTTTATTTTAATGTTTAAAAATGTAAAAATTAATTAATTTTTTTACTTAAATTACTTGAATTTTTTTTTCTCTAAAAAAATACATATTCATGGATTTTTCCTCCCTTTTTTTCCTAAACATAACAATGCATAAAAGAAAATAAAACTTCGTTTTGATTTAAGAAAAAAGCTAGTATGTGATCTCAAAGAAAACACAAGACATTGACTAAAGGAGAAAAATGAAGAAAAAGTTTGGAGAAAAAGTAAGAAAAAATCCTTTATATAGTCATGGAAAATAACTTTTGAAATTCCTTATTAATTATAATTAAAAACAAGTTATAACTTTTTAATTAATTTTTAAAAACAAAAAATAAAACTATACCTATTCTAACTCTTTATATTCAAACTCTTTATATTCAAACTTTTGAGAGGGAGAGTTTTCGAGAGAGATAAAGTTAATTTAAGAAAACTGAATTTGTAAGGATGTTGATAAAATATTTTGAAAAAATGAAAACAAAAAGAAGAAAAAATTGGGGGAACTGATGTGGGAGAGAAGGAGAAGAAAAAATGAGACACAATCTTTTTATACGGAAATCTTTAGGAATGGCTAAGCACAAATTACCGTTAACAAAAATGGGCAAAGTTTTTTTAAATTACATGTCATGGCCAAATTTGATTTCCTAAAATTCGGGGAGGTGTATTTATCCGTCCACACATTTCATGCCCAATATTGCCATTGCAACCTTTCTCCATTTTACCCATCAACGTTTTAGGTCACCCACATTCGACAGAAATCCCTAAAATCTCTGCCTACCCCCTTTAACTACAAAATCTACATAATTCCTAACATATTTCCACAAAATTTAAACCACCAAACCTACCTATATCATTCAAATTAGTTTGAAATATTATTAATTTCTTGTTAACAAATATAACTAATTGGTTTGAAGATTCCATTGTAATCAACAACCTTAAATACGGTTTCTTTTTAATGTTATTACACAAGGTGCCACTAATCCCCACCCATTTTCTTGTTACATTTTTTCAGAAATTAAATCAATCAACGTGGAAACACTTTGCGATCATTCTTAGCCACGGTTTTACAGGATGGAAGTTGGGAGGAGCACGACAATTATCAAAGGTTCAGTATCGGGCACGTTTCGATTCCATTTGATTCCACCCTACAACAACTCAATGAATGTATCTCTAGAGATCTTCATTTTCCAGAAGGAAAAAATATTACACGGCTTTCACTGTTCAGAAATGGTACTAACAAGTCGATAATTTGAGGCTGTTAGTAGATAGGTACGTGTCGTGGGCCATATCCTTGTTGTCGGATGTCATGTGCAGCGACTACTGCATAGTGTAGATACCGACCCTGTACATAATACCATATACGGGGTTAGTGAAAGTTCAGACGCCGCCCAGAATATAGTTTACCTTAGGGGGAAGAAATTTACTTCATGGACCCTATTGTTTTTTATTGTACTCCCTCTGATTCCACGTTGGAAGAATTATCTGTCTTTCAAAATAAAGAAGAGTTGAAGAAGGCGCTTTATGTTATTGCAGTAAAATGGAGTTTTCAATTTAAAACCGTCAAATCCAACCAAAAATAGCTGGTTGTAAGGTGCATCGAAGAAACATGCAAGTGGTATTGCCGCTCCTCTCGATATGGCGACGGTAAATTATGGATGATTAGAAAACTCGTACTGGATCATACATATTCGATTGACGCTGTTCGTAGTCACCATAAGCAAGCAACAACGACAATGATAAGGGAATGTGTCAAGACAATGTTAAGTATGAATAGTAGGAGGCACTATAGTCCACGCGACATAATCGATTATGTTCGGAAGAAGCACGAAGTCAATATTAGTTATGACAAGGCCTGGAGAGGAAGAGAGAAAGTCGTTAACTCATTAAGGGGGTCACCAGAACAGTCGTACGCTATCATCCCGTCCTTTGCAGGGAGGCTGATCGATAAAAATCCAGGTACAGTATCCGCCTATACTTACTCTGTCTTTAGTCAGTCTATAAGCATATTTACTCTATGTATTTTTGCAAGGACATACACAGCTCACGAGGTTGATAGTGATGGGAGGTTTAAATTTTTCTTTATGAGCTTTGCAGCATCAATAGATGGATGGAAACACTGTCTTCGAGTATTTTCGAAGTCCTTTCAGTTGCCTTCTTCCATAATGGATTCTGACACAGTATTAGTTCTCATCTTCTGCAATGCAACTCCTCCCTCTATGTTTTTAAAAACAACACTTTCGAATTTCAATATTATTTTTTATTCATGTTCCACTTTTCTAATTTGATTTTAGATTTTTTAAAATCCATTTTACATTTTGATTCAATCTTAATATTTTCTTTATTTCAAAGTATGCATTCAACATATTTTATCTTATAAATTTTGAAATTTCTAAATCTATATGTTATTTAAAATTTTTGAACTTTATAATTTCCATTCACTATCTTGTTTCTAAAATTTAGGTGCAATAAAGGTTTGTTGAAGGGTAGTTTTGTCATAAATTTATAGGGGTAATGTAAGGATAAATTTACATATTTTTGATGAAGGGTAAATTTGTCCACATAAAATCTCCTAGTTTAGCTCTAACTGCCTTTTAACTATTTTCCTGATTATTTTGTCAATTGTTCAAATCAATCTATTTTTAGCTATTCCTATAGTTATCTCTATTTTACATTGAAGGACAAAATTATCCCAAAATAAATATGAAAATATTTAAAGTAAAAGGGCAGAATAGGGAGAAAAAATTTCACATAAATAATTTGAGTCCCCCGCCAATCTAGTGGTGTACATATAGAGAGGAATTGTCTTTAGAGGTTTGTTTCCAACCAATTTTTTACAAAGGTCTATTTGGAGGAAAATTTTCACTTTTAAATTTCAAGGACTTTTTTGTAACCATATTACCCTTTTTAGGTTGCAACAATCCACATTATTATGTCTATTTTTTATTGATACTTTCAATATATATATATTTTTTTCAATTAACGCATAATATTTTCACATTTATTAAAGATTTTATATTTTCAAATTTATTATTGCTTAATTTTTCAGTGGTTCTTGTTTTAATTTTTCTCATGTATATTTTTTTTCGGCGTCTTATTTTTAATATTATGATAAACATATACTCCTTCAAAAGGTTATATTATATATAATTTTTATCTATATATACTAAACTATTAGATTATATAATATATTCCAACGATTATTATATAATATATTTTTATTTAATTTTTTAATATATAGTATGATAAACATATACTCCTCTCAAAAGTTATATAATATATGCTTTTTATTGTTCTATACTCAACTAAATGGTTATATAATAAATACTGGTATATATCATTTTTTTTCCAT